CGTCACCATCGCTCCCACGATCCCACCTCGTTGATGTGCCATATCGGTTCGGTAGAGAAGCCGTGTCCGAATCCCAGGCCCCGCCCCGCTGGTATGTACTCAGCCGGCCTAGGGTTTGATTCATCTCATCTTTGATTCCTCAGTTCTTTCGATTGTGTTACTTTGGAAACAATTCTTGTTTCATTTAAATTTGTTGAGTGTATCTATGATATACCTGATGCCTGATGTATTAGTATGTCATCTACGAATTTTGATTCATTTCTTATGCAGATCACAATAATGTGATCCCCAATATTGTCCGTGATATTAGTTATTGACATGATTTCCAATTTCCATTCTTCCATCAAAGTATAGATATGTTTTCGTTTTTCCAAACTAATATGTCCGAGCTTCTTTTTTTTTTGAGGGAATATGTCCGAGCTTCTTAATTATGTACAGTAGCATCATAATCCTGTGCATGACAAAAATAATAATACAAATCAATCTATATGTTGGTGAGTCAAAATATCCATCCCGTGTTGGACATACATTTTAGGTATGTATCTTGTATATAGCATTTTTTTCATCCAACCATAACCGGAACTTCAGAAAACGCCAAACATTTTTAGTTTGATTCAGTTCTAGGCTTCATTTTGAACCACTGTGTACAACATATCTTATATGTATATTGTATATAGCATATTTTCATCCAACCACAACTGGAACTTAAAAAAAATAGTAAAGCTGGAACTTCAAATATGCCACTACATTTTCTTCTAATGTTTCTGCATAAAGCTTAATTGCTTGCTAATACTAAATTCTTCATTTTTTTCATCCTCCTACTTATAAGGGCAGAAAAAGTTCAAAGCTCCAATATAGTTGTTGTTGTAACATGCCCATTCTCCATAGAAGTTAGTAAGAAGCAGCACCACACCTCAGGGTAATACGTTAGTGTGTCAATCACCCCTTCAGGGGATATTTTCATTGTTTGAAGCATTATAGTTGCAGAGTTCTTCTCTGTATCTCTTGGGTTTGTTCATCAGATTTGCTAACTCTATGGTATGATTATGTACTCTGATTTCAGGAAGCACATAAGAAGTTAGCAAGAAGCATCATGTATGCCCATATGGTGATAGTACAAGGGACAGTGTCCTCGCATTTTCTCTTGCAATTTGTGTCATGGTGGTAGATTGTGTGGTGCTTCTTTGACGACCACAGAAGCAAATCCTAGATTTAACAACGACATATGTTCATCACTGTGGAAACATCCCCATTTTATTTGAAACAAATATTTATTTTTAATGGAAACAAATCTATATTTGTATGGAAGCAATTCTCTAGTCTATGAAAATAGTATCATATTCATTTGGAAGCAAAATATATCTCTCCGGAAGCAAGGCGTCATATTTTGTTGCAGGGAAGCAAATCCTGATTTCTTTGGATCCAGATTCAAATATCTACAGAAGCAAATGGTCATTTCTTTGGATACAAATTCCAAATTGTTTGGAAGGAAATTCTTATTTATTTAGATGCAGATACAAGATTATTGAAAAGACAATTTCCATAATTCCATTTTTTTAAAGAGTACATAACAATGGTTAAAAAATGTTTAACGGAAGCATGAAATTACAAGGTTGGAAGCAACGAGTCTGCATTGAAAGAGACCATACAAAGTAATCGTCGTGTTGGATACAAATCTCTCCATTTTCTTGGAAACATATGTAATCAAATGGAAAAATAGCTTTATTATGTTTGCCGGAAGCAATTTTATGGGCTATTGGATTCTAGTAGATGTGAACAAATTGTTTCATCTTTGTTAAAAAAAAGTGTGCTTAACCAATGCTTTGTCAGAAAGAAACAAATTTCATATTCAGTGGAAGCAAATTTTCTATTCGATGGAAACACATTTTAAGCAAATATGTTGTTTGTCATAAACTCAATTGTAATGCGATGGAAGCACAAATTATGTCCCAAATTCTTAATTGGAGGAAGCAACGCCTGATGAAAGTACAGTTGAGGGTCCGTCTACGTCTCAGTCGACTGAGACTTCGCTAAGTCTCAGTCGAATGACGTCGCCACATGGTGATTGGCCTGTTTGATCGCTAGTTTTGTGTCGTTCGCTTGATGGGCTTGTTTGTGGGCTCGGTTGTCTTTTATTTGTTATTTTCTGTGGGCTTGATTGCTTTGGGCTGGCTCGTGTGTGTGTGTTTTTGCAGAAACATTTAAAAACAACAGAAGAAACGAATGGCCAGACAAATATCCCAGGTTGGAAAAGAAAAATGCGCTCCCACGTGACCAAGAAAGAAAGAGAAATGGTCTGCTACCGTATTAGTATTACACACCAGTAGACACACAAAGCTAAGAAATCCCAAAAATAACTAGAAGTGATAGAATGCTAGAAGTGGTAGAAGTGATTTTGCTAAAATAAAATAAAATGCGAAAGGGGTAAATGTTGGGTTTTTTCTGGGGAACAGTCAACGTGGTAGAACAAAAAAGACAATGAAAAAAAGAGTAAGGGGTACATGATAGAAACTCTAATTCAAAAATCATGACACAACTTTAGTTCTTTAGTAAAAAAACAGACCCACACCGCGCGCCCGCCCCCTCTACTGGCGTCCCCTTCGACAGAACAAAAAAGTTCAGTTGCGACCGGGTTAGAAGACATACAGTTGCGGTCGGGGGTGACACTTGCAGTTGCATGCCTAGTGCCACACATGCACACTAGCCGCCCCCTCTCCCAGCACCCCCTCTGACAAAACAAAAGTCTAGTTGCAAGCATGTTGGGGGACATGCAGTTGCGGTCGGGTGCGACACTTGCAGTTGAGGGGCAGTTGTCGGACTTCCAACTGGCCCGCCCCCTCTACCGGCGCCCCCTTCGACAGAACAAAAAAGTACAGTTGCGG